TTCCACGTTCTCGGGTGAGTACATTCTTCATCCCCTTCTTTCTGATTGAACAGTTACTGGCCGGAGTTTAGGCTGTTCAATAATATATTGAATTGAACGGATTCCTCTACGCCTGACTTGAGTATTTCCTGTTATGTGGCAAGTTAAGCAGCGTAATATGCTGCCAACATTTGAATTCTGGTAGGATTAGGAAGTAAGTTTTTTAAGGATTTAGGGTTGGAGAATTTAGGGAGAGTTTGACGTAGTGGGGAAGGAGAGCAGTTCAGCTTATGGCATACCTAACATATGAAACTAAATATAGGCATAGCAAAATGACTAACTCTGCTTCGAAAACATTATATAACACAATCGAAAAGGAAATATGGTAGAAGAGAAGTGCTGCATTTCATCATCTTAATTTGTTGTTTTCTGTAAGTTCCTTCTTTGTGTTGCCATTTGCCAAGATCCAGGAGTGACCTGGTAGGATTGCTATTAGGATAGGTTGGGATATTATTAGGGTATTAAGGGTATATTAGTAATTGGGTTAGGGAGTTTGGTTATAAATAATGTGAGGGGGAAAGAATGAAGGTAGGTACTTTAGTGAGTATGATTTAGTCTTGAGCAAGAATACTCAAGAGAGGGGAGGGTCCAAGTATCTCGAATTACTTGTTGTAGTTCTTATATTTTGTTATATTTCAATACATTTCTAGTTTGGTTTCTATCATGACCATAGATGCAGCTGATTAACCAATTCAACCTTTCCCATGAAAAGTTTTTAGCCTGATTGTATATAGCTTTTGTTAAACTCTTATAATCTAATACTTGGTTTCTGCAAAGAAGTAGAGATCTGAGGATTGGAAGGCAGCGAGGGAATACCTTGATAGTGGATTTATCTATGAGGGTAGGATTGAAGGTTCAAATGCTGGAGGTTTACTTGTCAGATTTCATTCTCTAGTTGGCTTTCTTCCATTCCCTCAATTGAGCCCATCTCATTCTTGTAAAGGTAAAACGTTTCCTTAATCCTTTGTGCTATGTTATATGAACTTTGCCATAAACTTGCCCTGATAACGTGTCATATTTGACTTTTATTTCATCATATAATGGAAGAAAATGCTGGTTCCGACATAAGATTATTTGGATAATTATCCTTTCTTTTTTACTTAATGGTTCTTCCTTGGTCAAGCCTACTTTTTACCCAATAATGACTTGAATTTCTAACATGCTTTCCCCTTCCCTTCCCTTCTGAATTTCTTACAGAACCATACAAAAGTATCCAAGATATTGCAAAAAGCTTACTTGGTTCGATTGTACCAGTGAAGGTAATTAGCTTCTATAAATTTTCTGTTATTTTAATCATTTAAATATTTGAAATCTTTGCTTCTGGTAAACTGAAGACTTGTGTTATCTGTTCCATTCCCAATGGTTTATTGCTGAGAGAAAGAAACGCCTTAAAAGTCAAAGAAATAAGTTTTGGAAAATTTAATTGGTAAAGGATGTAACCGAATACAGATTGGTCTTAAACTATGAAGCATGGACCCTCTGTTTCTAGTAGTTTATGTGTCCAGACAGGAACACGTTTGGTCACATGCCAAACACGGATCCGACACACCAAAATAAGTTTTCAAATTTTATTTTTTATTCTTTAATTATTTGAGTTATTGGGGAATGTGGTGACATTCTAGCAACACGTTAATGACATTTTTAGGGCATGATTTTTTTTTTACCTAAAATAAATTAGTTCCCACTACCAGTTGGGTTGACCTAAATATATTAAAAATCCACTGGACAAACCCAAATTTATAATCTATAATTTATTTAAAGTTATATTGAAAAGACACAGACTTGGAGAAACATTTTTGTACCATTTTTGTACCATCAGGTGCACTTTGGACTGAGAACTTTATGATTTTACGTTTGTGCTTCATAGGTCTTAAATCTGATGAAATTGTAATTTTAACCAATCCAATTCAGGTTCAAAATAAATTTTATTTGTATAATAATTGGTCAGTGAAGTAAATACGTGGATCATATGGAGAGCTGTACCATATCGCTTTTATTCATCAAGTAGAATAGAGAATAATGTAAATTTAGTAGTTATGATAGCAATGAGGAACAAGTTAGGAGTCTCTTCCATTTGCATGGGTTAGTACCTTCACTCATTCATATTCACATTTATAATTTAACCATCTCTGCTTTTGGAATATTTAGGTGTAGGATGCGTTTAAGCCTATCTTACTTTCTGAACATGGATTGCTTGCTTTCTAGATTATCCAAGCAGATGAGAGAAACAAAAAATTGATATTTTCAGAGAAAGAAGCTGCGTGGTCAAAGTTTTCTGAGCAAGTTAGTGTGGGAGAGGTTTATGATGCTCGAGTTGGTTCTGTGGAGGATTATGGTGCCTTTGTACATTTACGTTTCTCTGATGGTAGTGTTCTTTCTTTGTAAGTCTTATTTGCTGATGTATTTAGAGATCAGTTGCCACTTATCTTCCACAATTCTGCAGGTCTTTATCATCTTACCGGGCTAGTACACGTATCAGAAGTTTCATGGGATCTAGTTCAGGATGTAAGAGACATCTTGAGTGAGGGTGACGAAGTGAGGGTGAAAGTTATTAATGTTGATAGGCAAGTTCTCTCAGGTTCCTTTTTGTTGCCAGCTAATTTCCACCTTCTAGGAAAATCTGTTATTTGTTATAGAAAATACACTGAATTACAAATACTTAACTCTTGATTTCAAACACTTGTTCACTACTATTATTTCAATTTATATCTTATTTCATATTTATGTTCCAAGTTGATCGTTAGGTTTAATTTATATTTCATTTAATAAATGAAATGGTTGGTTTCTTAATTAAAAAAAATATTATGTTATTATCGCCCCTAAGGGGCAGCCCAGTTGGCAAGGGCTTAGCGTCTCTTGGTCATATTGACTTAGAGGTCTCAGGTTCGAACCTTCGGGTGAGCCTAATATAAAAAATCCTTGATGTCTATCAGGTCTGGGTCTTGGGGCGAGCACAGGTGCCTCTAGGTATAGGGGCGCAAAGCTCTAATTCCCGGTACTTATTTGTCCAATTATTGACAGTTATACAATCTGAGTGTTGTGATGTGGTGCAGATGATAAGCTGAAGCTCATTCAACCTAAGTTTGTTTGTTGGTTAGTTACAGCTCTTACCGTTGTTTTCAGTGCTTTAGCAAGGGAAAGATATAGATATTGTACCAAACTTGCTGATGAGTAGAGGAAAGGAGAGAAGCGGTTAACACTCGGTTCTTCTATGTTTGTGATAGGATGCTTGACCTTTGTAAGGAAGGGGAGAGAGGCTGCAAGTGGGGCTGAAATGTGTTAAATGGTAGTTTTATCTTCGTTTGCATCAACCTCATAAACTTAGTTAGGGGGCAGGGGTGTGGTAATGTTAAAGAGGGAAGTTAGTTGGGAAGTAAGCTGGGGGAGCGGTCATATATAAGGGAAGAGTGAAAATGCAGAAAGTGGGAAACTAGAGAAGTCTCAAGGAGAGCTGCGGAGTCTCAAAAAATCCTGCCCCATTTTGTTACGAATCAGATTGCTGCTTTTTCTTTTTCATTGAGATACAATATATTTTACTCTGATTATGGAATCTTGCCAAAGGCAATCAATTGATTCTTGATTTCATTATTTGTTGCAAAAGGTTAAGAAAATGAAAACAAGGAAAAATAAGTGATACATTTGGTAAATTATATCGTCTCAAACTTTTACTCTCTGCGAATGCCCCTGTATTTCAGGACTGCCATTCTGAGTCTTACTTATTGATATATGCAGGGAAAAGTCCAGGATCACACTGTCAATTAAACAACTGGAGGAAGATCCACTGTTGGAAACGCTGGACAAAGTAATACCGCAGGTTGGTGAAACATTGTTTTACGCTTATAATCAACCTTTTCAACTACTCGCATCTCCTAATTGAGCTTTAGCTATACGAACGTCATAATTAACAGGATGGTTCTGCTGAACCTGATTCTTTCGGACCTAGAAGTGATAGCGAAATTATACCACTTCCTGGACTTGAAACAATATTTGAAGAGCTACTGCAGGAAGATGGGTATGTTACTTTTTTTTAGCTTCAGATATTAAGGTTTATTTCTGAAAATGTTAAAAGCTAGAATTGCTGGAACGAAAATAATGTCTGCTTTGTCCTTTCATGTTATCTTGACCTTGAGTTAGCAGTATGATCTTACTTTTGCTAGTTTGAATATCAGTATAGAAGATGTTCGTGTCAACCGACAAGGATTTGAGAAGCGGGTGGTTTCACAAGATCTACAGCTTTGGCTATCAAATGTAAGTTGTTTTGTTCCTATTATGTGGAGTTTAGTCACTTGCTTCAATTTCTCTCATCTTACTTTAGGCTCCTCCCGTTGAAAAGAAGTTCATTCTTCTTGCTCGTGCCGGTAGGCAGGTAGTTCTCCCTCCCTCCTTCTCCCTGCACACACACGCATGTGCACACTCACACTCACGCGCACACGCACACGCAGACAGATAGTAATCCATTAACTGTATGGTGAATATAGGTTCAAGAAATACAACTGACGACATCGCTTGATCAGGAAGGTATAAAAATGGCATTGCAGCACGTATTGGAGCGTGTCCCGTGATTTGAATCCGGAGTTCGTGTTCGATTTTGTATGATGATGTCTGTAAAGAAGATGCTGTCAATTCAATTGTTTCCAGTAAGATGTATATTTTGTTTGGTCTGTTCATCTATTCTAATTTGCCAAGGATCTTGTAAGCATGAACGCTCGATTGTTGTCTGACAGCGTTCTGCTTGGAAGATTTAGTCTTTGTTTTCCATATTCAATATAATAGTATCATTTTTGTGTTCCATTGAATTGAAACACATGTAAATTAGTTTCAATTTGATTCTTATACCTCTAAAAGTTGCATTATCATTTATATCTATAGATTAAAGCTTAGCAAACATTGCTATTGTTACTGAAAAATAACAGAAATCCAATCTAACAATTTATCAATATGTATGAAGATTATTTATTACTCTTTTTTTAGTACAATAAATGTGGGGACGAGAGATTGAATCTCCGGCTTCTAGAGTAGAAGGAAGATGCCTGAATTGTTGAACTAAACTCATGTAGATTATATATAAAATTTATAACGTGACGTTATGGGGTTTGATGAATCATATGAATTCAGTATCATGAATTCGAGTATAATTTCAAGTTATTATTTTGATTGAAAAGTTACACCAAACTTCTTGGAGTGGAAATTATGTGTAAATTTTAGGGGAAAATTTTGCTCATCCACTTGGCACAATATATAGCTCAAAGCCAAAGGCATAGCCAGCTCCCAACAACATGAACATTTCATCAACTAAAAATAAATATAATTTAAAGTGATGTAATTTTTTTTTCTAAACTTATTTTAAACTCTAAATGTTTAAGGTAAAATAGGGGAAATTTTCCATAGCTCCATTAAAACATATTTATACCAGTGTAGTCCACATCTTTTGAAGTCAAAACCATCTTCTGTTTCTAAATTATTTAAAAAATAAAAAATAAAAAAATCATTTTCTCTCTTACTAGCTAATTACCAATACCATTGTTTCAATGGGATTATTTATCTTCCTTATTTGTTTATTTATCTTTTTTTTTCACTGTTATTTAAATTTTTTTTGGACATCTCTACTTTCTTTTTTCTCTTCTTATTCCGACTGTTATTTCACTTCCTTCGAACCAATAAACTTTACATTGGAACAATTTTATATCTCCTTTTTTATTTTCAAATAATGTTTGCTTATTTTATTTTTATTTGAAGTTTTATTTTTCGAATAATTAAATATTTCTTTTGTCTAATTTAATCGATATTATAATTAGATTTTATTTATTACCAATTTTTATACTTTTTATTTTCAAATAATTAAATAATTGCTTTATCCTACAATGATATATTATAATTAAATTTTATCTGTTACCTATATGCAATAATAAATTGTAAACCTTTATTTTTTCAAAAAAAAAAAAGAGAAAAAGGAAAGAAATTGTAAGCATCATTAAATTAAAGCAAAAACTTAAAAAGAGTAGGTACGTAATAAAACTATATTTCTTTTTCCAAAGGATAAGGCAACATTTTTTTGTCTGGCAAACCTATTTTAACTACATAAGTAGCATCCATTTTCATTGCCTTTGACATACTTTTTTAAATTATAGGAACAAACTTGTAAATGGGGAAATTAGTATTTTCAAGTTATAGTATGTTTCATAAAATTAACCTTGAGTTAAATAACGTTTCAAATTTTCAAATTTAGAAAATTAGGGCTCTTTTAGTAACGTTACCGTTTCTTGTTTCCAATTTTATTAAGAAACCTAACCACTTGGTAACTATTTATGTTTCTTGTTTCTTATTTATTTTGAAACATTCTCAAAATTATATAAATGTTAGAGTCTATGCAATTCTATTCTTCTTTATAACAAATGAAACAACATAAATAAGAAATCGAAATGTTACCAAATGGGCTCTTAATGACCCAAGAGGGAGGGCACTCTCACGTGAAAAATAGGATCAAACATTGTTGGAGGTAAAATGGGTTTGTCACGTGGAGAGCTAGAAAAGATCGGTGTCATAAAATCTTTCCTCGGAACCTAAGAGATATGATGTGACCGATCTTGAAGCTCGACCAAAGTGTGACTTGTAAACTCGGTCAAACTATACTTGGTCGAAGGTAATGTCATGCTCCGACTTGAAGGAACACCTGACAGTCCATTCTTAACTAATGCCTTGCAGCACAACTAAATAGTCGGATGTTGCTATCACTTGACAACCTATAAATAGAAGCAACATTCTGAACCTATGTATGCAATCTAAATGTCGGCTTGAGACCCTAGATCGGACTCTCACTTACTTGAACGTCAGACTGTTCACTTTCTTTGAACGAGTCTTTTCTCATCGAGCTCGCTTTACAAGCTCATCCATACTGAGAATCATACCAGTTTTTGAGCCAAATCAGAAATCCCCACAAACAAACTTTATTCTTTTCAAAACCATTCATTCTACAATTACTCCCAAACACACTATTAATCGTGAGAAGAGGTGAAATAAAATTAACCACAGTAACTAATTAATAAAATAAAATACCATAAACTAGATTACAAAGAGAAGGCCCCAATATTTAAATACCTAACAAACCGTACTATATCAAAAATATATATATATATATATCTCTATATAAAAGCACGTCAAAGCTGAATTTTTTTTAATAATGATTATTTATTTTTACTTCTTTTTTTAATAATGATTAAAGGAATAAATACATAATTAATATATTATACTTAGTCTAATGATTGCTACAAAATAAAGGCTTAAAATATAATTCCCCATATGTCAGTTCTGCTATAATCACTAATCACTCATCCTTTCCGCATGCGCCAAAACCTTCATCCTCTCATAATATTTTATTTTTTTTATTACTAACTTTGCCTAAACCTCTATTTTTATATTATAGGTATTTAATCCAAATATAGTTGAGTGGATAAAATACTTGCGGTTCTATCTCCACCTTCATAATTATTAAACTCAAAAAGAGAAAAGAAAGAAACATAATAAGTTAAAGAAACGGCCCTTTAATTTAATATTGTTGTCTAAACATATGTTACATATTTAACTTTAACACATATAAAGTTACAAATATTTTACTTTGTAATTTTAATACAAAATGAAAGAAAAAACGATAAATGAAGTAAATAAAGAAATTGTTATGTAATAAATTTCTCAATTCAAAGACAAACTTTAAAGAGATATATCCACAACGTATATGTTAATAAGTTTCTTCAAAATTCATTTTCTATCCCATATTAAAATTCAACAATTTATTGATATCGTCCTCTAAATTGGATTTTTAGTTCCCTTGAAAGGATCCAATTCGAACAAGTTTCGAATTCAAACGTCAAATTTGATCAAAAGTGTATCACGTAAGAATTCAAGTACCAAAGATACAATCGCTAAGTTTTATTTAGTGAATCAAATCTTAATGAAGGAATAAATAAAAAAAAAAATTAATTACCACAGAAGAATGAAAAGAAAATCAACGGGAAGAAAAGTCTGGGAAATTGATTTCACAACTATTAATTTTACAGGCCAAAACTCTCAAATCTGCCTCTATACCTCGCGCAAAGTTAATTTTCCTTTCTAATAAACCAATATTCCTATATAGTTTCAATAACAAGCCAATGCTTTAACTACTATGTCTTTTAACCACCTCTAAAATACTTCTAAAGGTCTTTTTGGTTAGAAATTTGAAATTTGTATCTTGTTTTCACATTAAGTGAATACGGCGTTTGACAAGATTTGGGAGATTCGCTTTTGAAAACTGTTTTCGAATTCTGTGATTCAAACTGTAGAAATTTTGAAAATGATTTTTTTTTTAATGTTTTCAGTGTTTTTACATTTAGAATTTGAAATTTTTAAGATGCAGAATTAGATTAAAAAAGATAAAAACATTGATAAATATATTATAAAATATAATCTATTCTAAATTATATAACGTTGTAAAATAATAATTATACAAAATACATTAAAAATGTTAATAAATTAATTAATATAATTTTAGATTAAACGAAATATTTAGTTTGTAATTACTTCTAGTTTACAAATATATTACTAAAACACATCCAACAATTTTTTAAACTTGAGATTCAATTACCAAATCTGTTACCAAACATTTCTTAAAAAAAAAAAAAAAAAATCTGCTACCAAACATATATCTGAAAACAAAAAATAAAACTCTAGTTTTTGTTGAATCTCTTGTTTTCAGATTTTTGTTTACTGATTACCAACCAAATGCACCCTAAATCTCTCGATATCTTAAAATCCCTTTATTTTGCATCCCAATTCTAACTCTGAAATACCTCTCTCGAGCCTAAGATTTTAAGTTTAATATCAATCAATCAATGACTAGTAGATTAAAAGCATTAAGTATGGAGAAATATAAATAGAATATTCAAATGCATCCAATCAAGAGAATCAAACAATCAATCCATAAAGTTCAATGGTTACATCAATACATGAGAAAATAAGTTTAGCTACTTATATTCAATCTAAAACAACAACATCCTAATAAAAGATCCATAACAAAACTAGAAAAATCAAGGGAAGGGAGAAGAAACTAAGTTCGGTGTGTCAATTGTCCATCCTCGAAGTGACCTCAACGATCCTGAGTCTTGAACATCTCTTTTCTCAATTCTTTAATGGTCTCATTGCCTTTCAAATTGGCCAAAAAGGCAAACTGCCAAAAAACCTCTCTAAAATTCATTCTTTCGGTGGCCGGAAAATCATATTCTCACCAAAAAAAAAAAAAAATCGCGACAAGAGACATAATAAACAGGGTTGGGACACTATAGGCCATAACATTGAGACGCTGTTAACAGCGTTGAGATGCTACACAACGTTGAGATGCTATGACATATTTTTCAAAGACACTTTAAATTTGTATTGTTGGACGTTGAGCACTATGTATAGCATCTCAATGCTATCTCCTCTGATTTTAGGCTCCAATCCTTCTTGTGTATTCATCCTTAGTCACTTTGACTTTAATTTTTCTCTCAATTTGATCCAATTATGTCTCGTTTCCTCCTGACACTTCATTCTTGCAAAATTTATCTTATGCGTGTGTAAGTATGTCATGAATAAATGAAAAGTAACAAATAATTCTAATATTAATGTCATAAAATATTACTCAAAGTGCGCTATCAACTTACAACTTTCTAATTAAGAAAAGTGCAAATTGTAGCACCATTTCATATCGGTTAAGTTTTCAAGTGATTCTCTCGAGTGCTAGTTCATATCCTAGGCAACAAGATATCTTGTAGTCTCGAGAATAGAAAGATTTAGCCCGTATGAAATGACAAAAAGATTTTTTTAG